AAGGCAACAGCAAAGGCAAGAGCAAAAGCAAAGGCAATGCACAGCAAAAGCAAAACCAATGCGAAATTGTAGATGTAGATGTAGATGTAGGTGTAGGTGTAGGTGTAGGTGTAGATGTGGATGTAGGTGTAAATGTAGATGTAGATGTAGATGTAGGTGTAGATGTAGGTGTAGATGTATATGTAGATGTAGATGTGAGTCTCGCTGTTGATGTTGATGTAGATGCAGGTGTAGATGTAAATGTAGCAGACGGTGTAGATGTAGATGTTGCTTTCCTAGATGCTCCAACTCCTAGGTAGGGTCGCACTGGGATAATGTTTATGTCTCTGTTTGTTCCCCTGCTTTCGAGGCCGACGTAGGTCCAGCGCCGTTTTGAGAAATCCGCGCGGACCTCAGGGTTCGTAAGTTTACGTCACTGTTTGTTCGCCTGCTTTCGAGGCCGACGTTAAGGGGTCGGAAGTCGCATGCGCAGAGGGGGGTGGGGGGAGGGGGGAGGGCTTCTTAGAAGCACCCCTGCCTCTTAGAAGGCGCGGGCCTTCTCTGTAGACACAGGGCCTCCGCCTTCTAAGAAGCAGCCTCCTTCTAAGGAGCCCCCCCCCCCTCCCTCCACCCCCACTGTGCGCGCCGCCGAGGAAGGGCTGGCAGTCTGGCCTTCTCTTCTCGCCGGGGGCCGAGACCTCCTCCGCCCTCTCGCCCCCGCCCGGGTGCTGGCGCCTGGCCCTGCCATGCGCGCCGCACGTCTTCGCAGTGGCGTCTTGCCCGCTCCAGCGTCGCAGTATCCATCTCGACAGGTCGCGTTCTGCTCCTGTTCTTGCTCATCCCTCCAACTACTCCTCGTACACCTCCTCCCTCCTCCCTCCCTCCTCCTCCTGCTCCTCCTCCTGCTCCTACTCGCTCCTCCTCCTCCCCCTCCTCCTCCTCCTCCTCCTCCTCTTCCTCCTCCTCCTCCTCCTCCTCCTCCTCCTCCTCCTCCTCCTCCTCTGCCTGCTGATCCTCCATCCTCATTCTGCTGCTGATACTCATGCGGGAGACCTGGAGGGCGCGATAAGCCGAAGCCTGAGATGGAAGAGGAAATGAGATGGCGATACGGCTCCACGGGCATCCAGAGTGCCCCGGGCCACCATTCTGAATCTCACTGCATTTGGGTTGGGGACTTGTGGATGTGGAGTGAAAGGATTTGGTGGGGGCTTGTGGACGCGGGGTAAAGGATTTGGATACCAGTCAACCCCAGCGAGGTGTTACTCGTTACTGGTACTGCAGATCTTTACTTGACTTGTGCTTCATAGATGTTGGATAAATGTATTGGGATGTCGTTGAGGAGGGGCGTTTTGAGAAGTGGGATATTTTGAAGAGGGTTGGAGACAGGGATGAGGGAGCTATGAACCATGATAGAGGGGTCTGAGGGAGAGATAAGGAAGAGGCAGAACGGAGGGAGTAGGAGGCGGAAGAGGGGGATTGATAGGACAAGGCTTGGGAGAGGAGCAAGATTCTCTCGTCCCTTCTGGCGCTCCCTTTGCAAGAGTGGCGTTGCAGGGTCCTCCAATGGGCGATGGTGACATCTCGTGCGGACTGGAGGTGCGCGACTCGCCAGAGGCCTGGGGCCTGGGCAGCTTCCGTGTGTGTGTGTGTGTGTGTGTCTCCCTTATGATCCAGTTGCCTACGTCAAGTCTCGCCACCGTGCTTGGGTTGTGGGCTACAAGCCTAGTGGATGTTCGTTGGCTCGTGGCAAGCCTCTCGGGGGCCTCTTGGCGGCAGTTTTTGAAGCCTCTTGGGGGCCGTTTTGGGGCCTCTTGTGGGCCTTTGGGGACCTCTTGGGGGCCTCTTGTGGGCCTCTTGGGTGTCTCTTGGGTGTCTCTTGGGGCCTCCTGGGGATCCCGTGGTGCGGAAGGCTCGGATTTTCGGTTCGTGTTCCTTTTCTGGGGCGCCTTTTGATGCAGTCTTGGGGCCTGTTTTGGGCGCCTCGTGGGCCATCTTGGGGCGCTCTTGAAGCCGTCTTGGGACCCTCTTGGAGGCCTCTTGGGTTGTTTTGGGGCGGTTTTGTGGACCGCTTGGGCCGTCGTGGAGCGTCGGAAAGCCGAAAAGGCGATAACGCCAAAATCTTTCAAACACATAAGGGGGTTCCATGTTTTTTGCCTTTGGGGGGCCCTCTTGTGAGACCTCTTGGAGGCCTCTTGGGGCGCCTTGGAAGCCTTGAGGCCATCTTTGGCGGTTTCGAGCGATCTTTCGGCGACTCAGGACCGTCTTAGACCGTCTTGGGGGCCTCTTGGGCAGTCGTGGAAGCCTTGGAGACCCGCAGGGAGGCGCAATGGCCGCCCAGGCGTACTCGGCTCGGATAAGTCCGAACGATGCGCTTGCGGTAGTAGGGGTTTCAGTTGCATCAATATTCCATTGGTAACTCGTTCTCTTTGTCTCTCTCTCTCTCTCTATCCCTCTTCGTTCTATATATATATATATATATACATACACAAGTGGCACGTGTGTGCCCAGGCTCATACAACAAGCTGAAGGGGCGTTTGAAGCAGGAGTGACATGCAACAGCGAAGCCGCACTCGAGCGCAAGTGGGTTGCCACACCTTGCGATGTGTGTACCAGGGCCCCCCAGGAAGCCTCAGGAGGCCCGACTTGGATACCAGAAGAGGCTCCAGGAGGCCCCAGGATTGTGAGTGTTGTGTGTGTGTGATGTGTGCGTTGTGTGGTGCGTGCTTTTTGTGTGTTGTCGGTGTTGTGTGTGTGTTATGTTTGTCTAGCGTGTGATGTGTTGGGCGTGATTTGTGCCTCTGTGTGTGCATGTAGTTCTGAAGCCCCAGGAGGCCCCAGGCGGCCTCAGCAGGCCCAGGAGAACTCCAGGGGGCTCCGAGGCGGGGTCTGGGGTACCAGAAGATCCAGAAAGCCCCAGGAGGCCCCAGGAGGTTCCAGGAGGCCCCCAGGAGGCTCCGAGGAGGGGTCTGGGGCTCGATGTTGGGAGGATGTCTCAGGCGAAACCGCCATTCTCTGAGAATCGGGGTCAAAATTATTGAAATTACCATGTGTGTGTGAAGGTTTTATGTTAAAATGTTGAAATTCCCATGTGTTTTTGGACTCTAACGTCACGATCTGCGTGAGGGGTGCCACCGATGTTCAGAAGTTCGAGGATGTCCCGAGCGAAACGGCCAGACAATCGCGAACGACGTGCGCATTAATCGCCTCTGAGCTCTACTCCCTCGGAGAGGTGCGTATGAGAATATATGTATATGGCTCTCCACCCCTGGCTCTGTCTTGTTACGTGTCTCTAGCTCTCTCCCTTTCTCGTATTGTCCCTCGCCTTGACGTCCCTCCTCCACTTTCAACATCATGAGCCTTCGGGCACACCAGTACATGGTCAAGGAACAGTTGCGGATATCCCATATGCGACATATTCACAGCTCCACTTATCTGTTGTCGTTTTCTTGTCCTCTTCCTATTCCTCCGAATGTGATCACGTTCTTGAGTTGTATGATTTCCACTGTTCGACTCATGGCTAGATTTTCATGGGCACATGCTCTGCACTGGCATCAGCATTAGACTTGCCTCCACGAAGTTCGTTGCAATGCCGCATACATAAAGCCTCGTGTGGCATGCGCTTCCGTTCTCCCGCTCGATCTCCAGGAGTCAAGGTATAGATTCCGAAAGTGACATCGCAAAATGGGAACATGCCTATTGTCACAGCTATTGCAATGGCAAGTCCTTTGGCGCCACGAGGTTTACGCAAGATGTTGCATGTTTGCTGCGATGCATAACCGCGCATTGTCCCGAGGCTGCTGCGCTACGCCTCGAGGGAGCTGGCGAAGAGGCAGCTGCGACCTTTGCTAACATCAGCGTTTCAGCTGCAAGTATTTGGCCACCCCAGTCGATCGTGTGCGTCCTAGCCATTGTCGTCACAGTGCTGCAATATCTCTGCTGCTCGCTTCGAGCATTGCAGAAGGAACCAACGCATGTAGTTGTATTGCCGATGGCAGATGTGGTGCCTCTCGATTATATACGCAATGTTATAACGCAGAAGCTCGACGTTGTGGAGGTTACCATTTCTCAATGTCGACCCTTTTTGGCGGTAGGACGCTAGGATGTCGTTGCAACCTTTACTTGTATCGTGTTTCATGGTTGCGTGAAGGGCAGAGGAGGCCGTGATGTGGTCCCAGTTGTTGTGTTGGTTTTGCGTTTGCTTGGTCTTGTGGTTCCCCCTTGATGGGGGAGGGGACATGGAGGTGGGGAGGCGTGGATGGATGGATGGGGAGGGGGGCAGCGAACCGACAGCAAGGACAAGGACGGAGAGAGAACGCTACGGCAGCTGAAAGAGGGGAAGCATCCGTCCACCAAGCGCGTGGTCGGGAGGTCCTTCCGCCTCACCATCTCCTGATTCAACGTTGTTAACACGGTGCGTCGCGTGTCATCTGGAGGCAGGCGTTTCCGCAGCTTGAGGGAGCTTGAAGGGGGGCAGCTTAAAGGGGGGGCAGCGAGGTTCTGGAGACCGCGAGGTTCTCTCGATGCAGCGAGGCCGCGCGCCCCCCTCCGCTGACCCTCGACTGGGCGCCTTCTTCCCTTGGAGAGGTTGGGGTGCACGGCTGCGCGGAACCACTCGGCTTTACGGCTTCCAGCTGAGGCTTTGGCTCACCGAGCGCGTGCCACTACTCGCAGGGTGCCGACCCGCAAGCGCCCGAAGCACGCATGATCGCCTCTGTGTAGTGGATCGTAGACCCCCCGCGGCGGATCCAGGCCACTTGCGCGCAGTTTGCGAGCAGCGTGGAGCGCGCGTGTCTGTTGGCCGCTGGTAGCGGAACCCTGGCAGGAGGCGACGCGTTGGGGGCGGTGGTCCCAAGCGCCGTGGGCGCAGCCATGTACTTAGGCCAGCGATGGGGAGCTAGCGATGTGACCCAGAGCGCAACGAGTTGTGATTGCCCGAAGATTGGTTCCGCTTGCCATGGACGACGCCACGGCGGTTTAGTGGTTGCGGCGACATCTGCGTTGATGGCCGCCTCAGTGTTGGC